AAGGATCCTTTTTATCTGCCCTTGGAAGGGCAACACAAGGACTCTGGGAAACTGCCAGAGCCCGAACAGAACCTTCCCACAGCTGAGTAAAACAAATGCGATTGCAGCTTTGCTGTAGTGCAGAGCTTTCCAAACTGTGTGTCGCAATGCGTAAGTGTGTCCTGCCACCCAAACACTCGCCCCCCTTTTTCCTGGGGGGTGGAAAGGGATTCATTTAACCTGCAGTTTGCTAGGAAAACTGAATTACTGTGTCTCGAAATGATGTATGCCGAAAAGTGAGTCCCAGGCATGAAAACTTTGGAAAGCTCTGCTTGTGTGTGTGTGTGCGCGCGTGTGTGTGCACGTGCTCTATTTATTTACTTCCCTAAATGGGGGTTATTTCAAAAAATAAACCTTGCTCTGTTTTTTAAGCCTCATTCCTCCCTTGTCCCCTTCCTTCTGTGTGTCTCCCTTATGTCTGTTGGGAAATGTTCTCCCACTTTAACTTTGATATCTAGGCTACTAATTGCCTGCACAGGTTTGATTGTAAAGAAAAGGAGCAAATTTTAAAATTATCTGCGCTATAAAATAACGGTTGTAACAATATGTTAAAGGTAAGTACGAGTTTATGAAATTTAGACCCCCTAGGTAATAGCCGTTCCCAGAATATCATCCCGTTCATTTGCTTCTACATAGTTTCATCCTTATTTTAGACATTGTGTTACATCCGTATATTGCGATGTTTAGCTGGTGACATATCACAATGTTGAAATCGCCCAGCCTTCATTGCAATATTAAGAAGTTCCACTTGGGGCCGCCAAATATTGGGCTGCCAGAGGCTGCCATTTTAGGAAAGATTACAAAGTGCATCCATTTTGTGTGGCTGTTGGAAGAGGGCGGCGCTAAGGCTGGGATGCTTCCAAAGGCCTGGCACTGCCATACTGAAGCCGGAAGCCTAGTAAGGGCTTGCCCACACAAGGTGAGAAGATGCATTCTTGAGAAGATCCACTTGGGGGCGCCAAATCCTAGCTTCCCACAGGCAGCAGCCATATTAGGAAAGATTACAAGGTGCATCCATTTTGTGTGGCTGTTGGAGGGCGGTGCTAGGGGAGCTTCCAAGGGCCTGGCACCACCATATTGAAGCCGGAAGCCTATTAAGGGCTTGCCCACACAAAGGTGAGAAGATGCATTCTTGAGAAGATCCACTTGGGGGCACCAAATCCTAGCTTCCCACAGGCCGCAGCCATATTAGGAAAGATTACAAGGTGCATCCATTTTGTGTGGCTGTTGGAGGGCGGTGCTAGGGGAGCTTCCAAGGGCCTGGCACCGCCATATTGAAGCCGGAAGCCTATTAAGGGCTTGCCCACACAAAGGTGAGAAGATGCATTCTTGAGAAGATCCACTTGGGGGCACCAAATCCTAGCTTCCCACAGGCCGCAGCCATATTAGGAAAGATTACAAGGTGCATCCATTTTGTGTGGCTTTTGGGAGGGTGGTGCTAGGGGTGCTTCCAAAGGCCTGGCACCACCATACTGAAGCCGGAAACCTATTAAGGGCTTGCCCACACAAAGGTGAGAAGATGCATTCTTGAGAAGATCCACCTGGGGGCGCCAAATACTATCCTAGCTTCGCACAGGCCGCAGCCATTTTAGGAAAGATTACAAAGTGCATCCATTTTGTGTGGCTTTTGGGAGGGCGGTGCTAGAGCCCTGGCACCACCTTCCAAAAGCCTGAAGTCTGGTAAGTGCTTGCCCAGGTTTGGGAAAGAGAGAAGGGCTCTGGGACCCTGCCAGAGCCTGGTTTTCCTGTGCAGGGTGCCATGCCAAGGTGGTACAAAATTGGAAAAATCCATAATTGAGACAATCCAATTGGAGGGGGCAGCACATTTTGACTTTGAAAGAAGTTAGTCATCCCCCTCCATGTTCCTGACGCTTGCTTTTCTAGTAGAAGAATAAACTAGGATTATTTATTGCTGATTTAAAATTAATATTAAAAAACCTTCCTTTGTTGTTGAAGCCTGTTTCCTCTCCTCTCCCCTTCTGTGTATGCTGGTGTGTCTTTTATTTTAGACCAAAGGTGATAATTTAAAAAATATTGTTGTATCACGATGTTTAGCTGGTGACATATCACAATGTTGACATCGCCCAGCCCTCGTTGCAGCCCTTTTCCTTTCTGACCTACTGGACTCGGCCCCAGACACACTGACCAGATGTTTGGAAGCTGTGGCTGGATGGTTACGTGGGAGCCGGTTGAAACTAAATCCTTCGAAGACAGAGGTCCTGTGGCCTGGACGGGGCGATATGGGATTGGGGGGGCAACACCCATCTCTTGCGGGGGCGCAATTAGTGCCAGCACCATCCGTTAAGAGTTTGGGTGTAATCTTCGACACCTCCCTTTCCATGGAGGCGCAGATTGCAACTATAACAAAGGCGGCATTTTTCCATCTCCGCCAAGCTAAGCAGTTGGCTCCTTACCTCTCTCGCCCTGACCTAGCCACTGTGATCCATGCGACGGTCACCTCCAGACTGGATTATTGTAACTCGCTCTACGTGGGGCTGCCCTTGAGACTGACCCAGAAACTCCAGCGGGTGCAGAATGCTGCAGCGAGACTCCTTACGAGGTCTTCGCTGCGAGATCACATTCACCCGGTGCTATACCAGCTGCACTGGCTCCCGGTGGAGTACAGGATCAGGTTTAAGGTGCTGGTTTTAACCTTTAAAGCCCTATATGGCCTAGGACCCTCGTACCTACGGGACCGCCTCTCCTGGTATGCCCCACAGAGAAACTTACGGTCTTCAAATAAAAACATCTTGAAGGTCCCAGGCCACAGAGAAGTTAGGCTGGCCTCAACTAGAGCCAGGGCTTTTTCGGCTGTGGCTCCGATCTGGTGGAACACTCTGTCACAAGAGACCAGGGCCCTGCGGGACTTGACATCTTTCCACAGGGCCTGCAAGACAGAGCTGTTCCACCAGGCCTTTGGCCAGGGCACAGCCTGACTCCCTCCCTCGGCAATCTTCGCGGAGCTCTGGCCCAATGGTTGCCAGTGGCTTGAATTAATTTTTATAATGAATGATTTTAGAATGTTGTTTATGTTGTACTTTTGTACTGTTTTATTGTTGTTAGCCGCCCTGAGCCCGGCTTCAGCTGGGGAGGGCGGGATATAAATAAAAAAATTTTATTATTATTATTATTATTATTATTATTATTATTATTATTATTATTATTATTATTATTTCAGTCTGTCAATATCTGTGCCTTTTCAAGTAGCAGAACCTCATACTGTATAGGATATAATACATTGCACGTAGGACCTGCTTTAGTTGTAGGGTATATTCATCCTGAGATACTTAAAAGTGTTTCCAGCCCATTACTATTCCTGTTCTGCTTTTTAGATAGTGCTATGCTATTTCAGTCCTCCTAAAAATGGAGGTGGTGCAAAATTAAGAAGATCCACTTGGAGGTGCCAAATATTGCCTTGCATAGGCTGCAATGATTATGTGGCTGTGGGGAGGGCAGTGCTGGGGCTCTGTGGGGCTCTGTAGGGACTCTGTGGGGACTTTCCCATCTTTGGGATGGAGGGAAGGACTCTAGGGTACTGCCAGAGTCTTGACAGTTTTCCTTCACAGGGCACTGAGTGAAAGCGGCACAAATTGGGAAGATCCATAATTGAGAATATCTATTTGGGAGCACCAAATATTGGCTTCAAAGGATTACCGAAGTCTGGTCTATTTTTTCCATCTTGGGGAGGGCGGCACAAAAGCCTCTTGTTTAAGTCTCTTTCCTCCCCGCTCCCCTTCTGTGTGTGCTGGTGTGTCTGTGTCTCTCTCCTCTCTGTTAGGGAACATTATCTCACCTTACCTTTGATACTCATGCTACTAGTATCTTCTACAACTTTTATTTTAAGTGAAAGGTGCTAATTTCAAAATTATCAGTAAAATAAAATCACAGTTGTAGCCCTTGCTGCAAGTCTTTTCCTTTCTGACCTATGTTTATGTGGGATACTCATTTTAGCCTGTCATTCTCAGAACCTCATATATCATATAACACATTGCATGTAGTACCTGCTTTGGTTGTAGGTTATATTCCTCCATTATTTTTGTTCTCCTTTTTACATAGTTTTACATTTCAGTCATAAAATCTGAGGTGTCACAAAATTGAGAAGATCCACTTGGGGGCGCCATATATTGGCCTTGTGCAGGCTGCAAGGATTACTGTAGGAGTGTGGCATGAGGGCTACTACATGCTTGCCCAGTGTTAGGAAAGAGACTGCCAGAGCCCTGGACTTTCCTTCCCACACCCAGAGTTCTGGGAATATTATCACTTGAAGAATGTTCTATCTATGGGGGCCGCCAACGTTATGTGGCTTTCGAGAAAGGATATAACCAAAAGTCTGTTTTCTGTTAGTA